AAGACCCAGCCCCAAAATGGGCTGGAATCTGCGTTGGTGGTACAGTGGTGAGCATAGCTGCCTTCCAAAATGGGCTGGAGAGGTGGCGCAGTACAAAGGCCCTGGGTTCAATCTCCAGGGGTGGGGAAAAAAAGAGGAGAGAAAAGAAAAAGAAAAAAACAAAACAGAAGAGGGAAGCCGAGCTGGACATGTTCTCTTTTCCGCACGCTTTCACATCCTTCCTCTTTTTAACCATGAACAGGATTCACAAATATCTCAGGGTTTCACAGAAGAGGAAACTCAGCCTTGGACAAAACCCAAACTGGGGGACACGGTGGGGGAGTGAGGCGGGAATGCGCCAGAGCTCCAGCCCTCTCCCAGGTGACAGGCCCTCCTCGTCCCTCCCATCCCATCCCCCTTTCCTCCCATCCTCTTTGCTTCCCCTCCCCTCCCCACTACCCTCTGCTCTGATGCGGGCGCTGGGCTGGGTTAGGAGGCAGAGCAGTGCCCACAGCTCAGTCCCTCACCCACTCGCCTGCAGCCTCCTCCCTTCCCTTCCAGGTCTCTCTCTCCCCACCAAACCCACCTGCACCCTGGACCAACATCTGCAGGCATCCCAGCTCCACACTCTCGAGCCCAAACTCTACCTCTTAACCCTTTTTTGCAGCCGGACAAGAAAAGGCCATGTATCCAGGTGCCTGGGTGCAGCACTGAAGCATCTCACTGCCCTACAGCCTTTTAGCTCTTAGGGCCTGCCTGTTCCCTTCCACCTGAAGCCCTGCCTGATGGTGTCCCTGCCAGCCTGTGTTATGGTGGCATCCCCTCTCCAGATTCTGCCTTGATCTCCACCCTCCACTCAGCTACAGGCTGTGCTCTTTCTAAAATGTAGTGACCATGTCACTCCCAGCTGGACAGCTCTAGGCAGTGACTTGAGGGCCCTGATCCTGGGTCAACACACAAGAGAAAGTTGGTTAGCGCCTCGCCCTCGCCTTTGCAAGCAGAGACACTGCCACCGACACCCGAAAGGGACCCTCATCCTAACTCCTCGAGGTCTGCGGCAAGAGGTCGCTCCTGAAGCAGAAGGGTCTGCATCCCATCCTGTGCTCCTGAGAGCACCAACTCACTGTGTAGGGCAAGATCTTGGACTTTGGAGATAGGAGTTGGAAGCCCAGCTGTTCGTTCGTCTATTCAGCAAGTGTATATTGACCCTTGGCATGTCTCAGGTGCTGTTTCACTCACCAGAAATACAAGTAGGAGATGCATAGACATACGCATTCTTCCCCTCTTTAGGAACTTGTAAGCTAATGTCAGGGGTAGACTTTGACCCCCAAAAGAAATGCACAGTTGCAGCTGTGAAAGGCGCCTCGGCAGCAGCACACAGGCTCATGTGTGTGATAGGCAATGGCAGGGCAAGATGTTTGGGGAAGGTGGTCCTGGGGACGTGTGTCTTGGAACTGAAGCCTAGTGAAGGCAGGCGAAGCACAAGACAAAGGGAGAAAAATGGCAGGCAGGAAGAACAGGCACTGAAGAGCATTGAGGTCTTGGGCCATGATTTGATCCCTCCTGGTCTCAATTTTCTCATCTAAAAGAATAGGTTAAACAGTGGTTGGAAAAGATGCTGGCTTGGCTTGTGTGGTGGACACTAGAGGACTTAGCCTTCCCATCAGTGAGACATGAGGCCCATGTGTTTCTTTGTTATTGTTGTTTGGGTGTTTTTGTTTTTAATACAAGGTCTTGCTGCACTGCTCAGACTCATAGTGATCCTCCTGTCTCAGCCTCCCTGAGATTACAGGCATGCACCAGCACAGCTAGCTCCAGGGCCAGGATGGCATATGATGCCAGGGATCTAACTCAGGACCTTACACTTGCCAGGCAGGTGCTTAAGCCACTGAGCTATCTCCCCAATCCTCCATAGTTTAATAGGAGAGGTTTAACTTGCTTATGGTCCAGGGAATTCAGTCCATGGTCAGTGAATCCAAAGCAGAAATGGCATGATGAAGGACTTGATAGAGAAGGAGCACTCAACCCACAGCAGCCAGGAAATGAAGAGAAAAGGGGCAGCTGGGGACAAGAATATGGCCAGTTCATACCCCCAGTGACCCACCTCCAACCAGGCTCCATTTCCTAACCTCACATTCAGCTATGAACTCGTGCTTGGACCATCCATGAATGAGTACACTGCCCCCACCCCCATGATCTAGCACCTTCCAGAAGCTTCACTCATGGGTACATGAGGCTTTGGAGAACTAAATCATTTCTTGAAAGCCAGAGAGTGGGCAGGCGCAGTCTTGGAGCTAACAGTCTGGAAGAAAAAGGGAACAACCCAAGAAAATAGAGGCTGTGTGGCGTGGAGAGATAGCTTAGAAGTCTAAGTGCCTGCCTGGACCCAGGTTCGATCCCTGGTACCGCATGCCGTACCAGCCACCAAAACCAGGTGTGGTGGTGCACACCTGTAATCCTAGCACTGGGAAGGCCGAGACAGGAGGATCACTACAGGTCTGAGTTGCATAGCAAGAACCTATACTAAACAAATAAATAAATAAACAAATAAATAAATTTTTAAAAGAAAGAGGTTGTTTGTCTTCACAAGAGAGCAGACAGAATGAAGTAGGAACAAGACCGAAAACTGGGGATGAGGTTGCCCAGGGAAGACTGCATGGAAGAATGCGGCTTTCCACATGCCAAAGGCTAAAATTAGACCAGTGCCTATCACCATGCACTAATCTACAGCCAAAATGGATCAAAGATTTAAACATTAAAACAGAAGTACTAAATCTTCTGGAGGAAAAAAGTACATAGAAATTTGAAAGAAATCAGGTTCAGCAGAGAGTTCCTGAACCAAAACCAAACTGAACAGGAAATGCGTCAAAAACTCAACATCTGAGATCTCATCTTTTTGAAAAGTTTCTGTACATCAAAAGAAATCACCAACAGAGTAAAAAGAAAACACACCAATTGGGGGAAAAATTAGCCAACTGTCCCTCAGACAAAGGACTTCTATCCAAAACATATAAAGAATTAAAAGACATCAGGCCCCTACAGTTCAAAGATCCAATCAATAAATGGGCATCTGAGATGAATGTATACTTCCCAGATGAAGAACTACAAATGGCAAATAAATATATGAAAAATATTCAACATCACTGGTCATTCAAAAGATGCAAATTAAAACAACATTAAAGGCCAGGCAGATAGCTCAGTAGAATAAGTGCCTGCCTGGCAAGCGCAGGGTCCTGAGTTCAATCCCTGGTACTGCAAAAAAATTAAAATAAAATAACACTAAGATTCTACTTCACCCCCAAGAAGAATGGCTAACATCAAGAAGTCAGCCAATAACAAAGGCTGGCAGGGTTTTGGAGAAAAAGGAACCCTTATCCACTGTTGGTGGGAGTGTAGACTGGTACAACCTCTGTGGAAATCAGTGGGAAGATTACTCAAAAAACTAGGATTATAAGTCCCATTTGACCCAGCTATTCACCTTTTGGGTATCTTCCCAGAAGAATTAAAAACATCATACTATAGTGACATATATGCACCTACATTTATAGCAACATAATTTGTCATAGCAAATCTTGTAAACAATACAAATGTCCATCAACTGAGGAATGAATGAAAAAGATGTGCTATTTTTATACTCAGCTATAAAAAGTTAACCTTCATGGTCTTTAGACATATTTATAAGTGAAATAAATCAGACCCACATGTATAAACACCATATTGTCTTCCTAGTGTAGAACCTGAAAGAATAAATAAAATCTGAAAGATACAATAGATACTATGAAAGGGAAAGAAACTGCTCAAAGGGAAGGAACAAGGACCAGGAAGATAGCTCAGTACAGTAAGTGCTTGCCTGGCAAGCCAAGGGTCCTGAGTTCAATCCCAGGTACCAAAAACAAAAAAGTTTATATCAAAGGGAAGGAACAGTTGGAATGAGGTAAAGGAGAAAAGAAAGAAAGGAAGAAAAAATTACACACAGGATAGCTTGTACTG